CTATGAGTCGCAAACGACTTGATGGCACATAACAACAATAACAACAACAACCCATCCATTTAATTGTGTAACCCTATGATTAACATCCTACCCCACCCCCCATGTCTCTATTTCCTCCTTCCCACCTGCCTTGGATCCTCATATTTATTCTACAATAATGGCTTTATACAGTATTTGTCCTTGTGAGATTGAGTTGGTTCACTCAGCATAATGTTCTCCAATTGCTCCCAAGTTAGGTAGAAATTTACAAAATGATTGCTCCTGTGTGCTGCATAGAACTTCCATTGTATGAATATACCACCGCTTCACAATTTGTTTGTGGTTGGACATCTGGGCTGTTTCCATATTCTAGTAATGGTGAATAATGCTGGATAATGCTTCTATGAACACTGGTGTGCACGTTTCTGTGTGAGCCTCAGTTCTCATTTTCTTTGGGTATATTCCAAGCAGTGGAATAGCTGGATCATATGGAATTTGAATGTTCACCTTTTTGAGGAAGTACCAAACTGCCTTCCAGATTGGTTGTACCATTTTACAATCCCACCAAAAACATAATAAAGTTCCTGTCTCACCACATCCTCTTCAACATTTATTACTTGCTGTTAAACTTTAAACAGGACACTGTTAAACTTTCATATGCTAAATTTTATTTCCATGTAACTATGATGTTACATTCCATTTTCTTGCAGACTGTTGTCTGAGCCATAAGATGCAACTCATTTTATATATTACTAATTTTGCTAGGAGTTCATATTCACTAGCTGCTCTGCACGAGAAAGACAGGCAATCTCCTCTTGTGAGATTTACACCTCCTGAAAACCCATCAGAAGGTCAGTTCTAAGGCAGTTCTAACTCAATGGCATATAACAATAAGAAATCATTGATGATATTCTTGATTCTTCCTTTATAATACTATGTTCCAGGTTTTTTTTCTTTTCCAGCAAAATGTTGAATCTTTATCAATGTTGATCTATAATCAAATGTTGAATCAGTCTTAATATATATTCATGTCTTCTTACATATTGTATAGAAATGCTTTGAACAGCTCAATAAGTTATATTTTCTATAGATATTTTTGCTGTTAGCCTTTATCTGGTTAATGAAATTTCCGTCTATTCCTGGTTTGTAAAATGATGCTTTCCCCCACACTCTATGAATAACTTAAATTTTATGAATATCTTTTCTGCTATTATTGAAAAAAAACTTTTTTCTTTAATAATTTAGTATAGACCACCATTCATGTTTTTTCAAATTTAAACTAATTTTTCATTTCTTAGATAAGCCTACATTGTTTCTAAAATTACATTTTCATATAATCTTTTTGTCTAAAAGAGATTTCTATTCACATTATTGTCCTCTCTCATATCTTCCTTATCAAAGTTTAGTGTTAGATTATATCAGCTCTAAAATTAGTTGGTAGGAGGGTTCCCTCTTTATTGGATATCCTGGAAATATTAGATGAGGTATACTTTATTCTTTACTTTGTGGTAGAATTCTCCATTGAAGCTGTTAGAACAAGCTTATTCTTTGTATTGCATGGCTTCAAGATCATGAAATAAATATTCTTCCCTTTTTTATTAATTTGACTAAGGCCAGAGTCAAAGAGATATTAATTTAATGGCCACAGTCTTTGACTAATAATATTTGGAGAGAAAAGTAAGAGACAAATGATTATTTTTAATGAAAGAATCAACAATTTACCCCATGCACATTACTAGTATTTCTGTACCTTCTACATAATATCAATGGTTAATATCAAGGCTGATAAAAAGTTAAATTAACTCTGACTTCACGTTCATAATATTTCATGCTCAAGACTTTCAGGACTTTTATTTCTAAATGGTAATAGCACTGGTCTTTTGCAGGAAAGAGGTAACTCATGGTTGCTGTGATGTTAAACACTGTGACACTGCTATGTCAAATGTGATAATGGTTACCCACGTGGATAATGTTTGGTAGAGCTCCCCAATTAAAAATAAGCTTGGAAACAGGAGTGGCATCCACTTCCGAAATGGCTTGCCTCTGGAAACTCTATGAACTTGGAGAAATGATGCAAGTTATACAAGTGTTCAGGTCTTTCATTCATAGGGTCTCTATCAGTCATCTGTGACTCGATGGCACTTGACTACAACAACAACAACAATCCTGATTTACTTTTTTTTTAATTTTCTAAAAGCAAAGTTTATTCCTCCATTTTCAGAATGACATAATAATAGTAGCAATAATAATAATAAAATAAAAGGTTCTTACCCAAGTCATACGAGATCTGTCTTTGGTGTTGTAACGACACTCAGTAATTAGGTTATCTCCCTAAAACATAAAAAGTGAAGGTTTTGATGGAAGTTTTGTGCTGTTTCATTTTAACTAATACATTTGTAGACCCATAGCAATTATTTGCTGTGGAAACGGATGCACCAACTAATTTGATCCAGAAGAGGCTTTTGATGCATTTCATTCTAGTATCACTGGGGTAATAAGCCAACTAACAAACCAGGTTCTCTCCATTCAGATCTGCCACTGCCACTTACTAGCTGCCTGAGCCACATGAGTATGATTTGTTCTTCTAAAAATAGTGAACGTAGCACATATTTTGCACCTCTGTTGTGAGAATTACATAACACATGCTTTTTCATAAGCACTTAATAAAGATCGACCATAGCTACCAGCTAGAGTGTTTATCTCTTCACTTGTACTAATCTGAAGGCTTTGAGTCATGCCTTTCCCCCCTTAAAATAAGATTTTGAGGCTAATTGATAGCAATTTGAAGTCCTACTGCCTTCCAACTGATAAATACTGTAGCATAAGTAGAAAATAATCACGTGTTTATGGCTCCCCATAAGCCTCCTTGTCAGGAGGCTCCCCCTGGACCAGCCATAGCCACCCTGTTCTCTAGTTTCTCTACTACTTGTACTTCCTGTTTATCTCTCAGCCCCAAGGCCAGTGCCTTAACACACCTACACCTTACATGTGGAATAAAGGCTAGGAAGATCTCAGATAATATAATAAAGGTCGCTAGACAGCCACCAGATATCAATGAGAGTATAGCCATTAAGCATCTTAAAGAATTTTCTTTCCATACCCAGTGTGTGTTAAAGAATTTTTGAAAAGAACACAGACCCAGAGCCAAGGAGTTCAGAACTAATAATTGAAAAACCAGGACGACCCTCCTCTTTTCCTAACCTTCATTTACTTTTATTACCTGCTCAATACTGTATTATACTGTCTGCTCTCTGACAGTTCCTCCTACTTGCAAACCCCTGTGCTCTGCATCAACAGAAAAGGTGTTACTATTACTCTAATTTTGTTACTGTTATACTTTTGGGGGTACGAAATTATATGATTAACATTGCAAACCATATACTAATACAGAGACTCAAACATTTGTTTTTAAAAATGTCATTATTACAAGTCCTAGGTTCTTTTCTATCCTTCCACCACGAGCCTAATTAGTTCTGCAAGTTGGCTCATCCAGCACAGTGTTATTAGCTAAGTCTGAATGAATACCTTTATCAAATGAAATAATTATCCTTATACTCATTTTTTACTGAAATGAAACTAAGGGGCAGAAGGAGCCATGGGATTGTACCATTACCACAGCTGCAGCCCAAAGCATTCTTAACAGGAAACGCGAATCAGGGAACAATTAGCATTTAGTGCCTCAGGACCTCAGTTCATTTTTTAAATCAACAAGTTGAGCTGCCCCTGGCAACCCTAAGATAAATGAGTTTCAATTGTGGGAAAGGGATCAAACACATTCCACCAGGGTTGTGGGTGGCGTGAAGTCTGTGGATGGATGAGCCATTGATTTCACCAGCAGGAAGCTCAACCGATACAGGTCTCCTGACTTTTACAACTTTCAGTGAAAAAGAACAAAATAAAAACCCGTTCATACTGGCAAGATTGTCCGCTCTTCCTTCAGATACTGAAACTCCTGGAAATTGAAGTCAAAATCCTCGTCGTATGCGAGTAATTTCATCTCCTCCCCTTTCCGAAAGTGACGCAGCCTGATTCCTCTGCCCGCCAGGTGAGCGTGGAGGAGAACAGCAAACACATGGATTCCACTGGGCTTCTCGGCTTCCAGAGCCTGCGGGGGGCACCGAGGGGGGACCTGATTAGCCCAAACAAAGGCGTGTTCAGACAGTCTGTGTCTGAGGTATTTGGAGGGACAACTAAGAGGAACAGCTAGAGAAACTGGAGTAAACAGATGCCTGGGCTGCCAAACAACACTTAGGATTTGGCTTGTCCCTGACATTCCTAACAACACAGTCTGACGCAATGTTTCCAGGAGAAAAGAAAGGGAATTAATGGTCCACAGTGAGCACCTCCTAAAAGTTATTGTTCTTTTTCCTTCTTTTGGAAGGTAGGACCCCCTCTTATCAAGTTAGCTCTGACTCCAGCTGCTTTCCTTTGGGCTTCCAAGCTATAAAACCTGTGGGAAGGGACTACCCATCTTTCTCCCGCAGAGCACCCAGTGGATTGGAATTGTCAACCTTTTGGTTAGCAGTTCATGCACCACAGCACCAGGACTCCTTTAGAAGGGAAAAGGGTAGTCAACATTTCTGGCAAAAGGATTCCTGTATGTTATTAATCTGGAAATCCAACTCTTACAGGGACAAAAGAAAAAGTGAGAACCCACCTTTGCAGATGAGAAACAGAAGAGTCAACAGAAGGAAATGAATTGTCCCTGGTCCTACAGCTAGAAAATAATGTTTAGGTAATTTGAACCATAGCATACTGAGTCCTGAACAACTCAGAAGAACACTATGTTTCTAACTCATCATTCTGTCATTGCCAGCAGGCACAGGATAATGTATTCCATAAAGAATATAAAGAATACAAACCATTATTGCACTATATTATGTAGGGAAAGCTACAAATATAAGCACTTACTGTTAAACATTTGTTTATGGTTTTCTCTTATTTTTTCCTTGTTATTAGTTATTCTTGCTCTTTGGTTAAAGGGAAAGAAATGGTAAAACAGAACCAAAGGGGGGGGGGATATGATAAAATGAATGAAAGGAAAATTAGAAAAAAGAAAAAGCAGCAACACAAACATGGAACTCTTAAAAAATAAGGTGTCCAATAAGAAATAAATCAGTGAGGGGGGAAACAGAAGAAAAACACCTTAGAAGCTATTATCTTCAGAATATCACTTCTTCTTGGTGGCATAATGGTTAGACAATAAGATACTAACTGAGTGGAGGGTTCTGACCCACCAGCTCCACAGAAGAGACCAAGCAAAGTACTCCTGCAAAGAAGACAGCCCAGGAATATTCTGAGCAGTTCAAATCCACCCTGGGGGGATGGCTAAAGGTGGGAATTAATTCCACATTACACAACTGTAGCCTTCAAATTTAAAAAGGTAAAGGAATTTTCTGCTAAAATTTCAACCATTTGGCACTATGCTGATTGGAAAAGGATTGATAATTAATAAGCATGACGTTTTTTCATAAGAAACCACCTTTTTTTGTCTTTTTTAGAAACCACCCTTTTCTAAGACCCTCACTTTGGTGTTGAGCAGTAATTCACAGACTCCGCGGCCACCTACCTCTTCCAGGCACTCCAGCGTGCAGTGACCCTCGGACCGGAACTCAGGCATGCCAGGTGGGATGGTGTGGAAAAGGCTCACCCAGAGGCCAGCCTCAATCACCCCAGCATCATATTTCCTGATATCAGTTGTATGAAAGAATCTCAATCCTGAATTATCCATTAATCCTGCAATAAGAACACCTAATTAAAATTGAGTTCTTAAATTGTCCACATTCAGATGAAATTAGTTTCATTGAAATCTCACAACAAAAAGGAATTCAATCAGGAATGAAGGAGAAAAGCATTTGCACGCATATTATTCGCAACCACCTTGGACTCAAACAGCATACCTTGGGGGAAAGATGTGCTGTCTGGCTGACAGTATCTTAGATGATAGAAGGAAAATTCTAAAACCATTTATTACAATGGTGGAATAACTCAATAAAAGTTTTGTTTTACATTGTTCTGAGGTTATGTTTAATATTTTGTACTTAAAGGCAAAAGGTCTTTGATCTGAAAACTATCTGTTCATGAAATAAAAGTACTATTACTTAGTAATAGTACTTAACTTACTTTTTTGTACACTTTATAGTATTTCTCTTATATAGACTTAAAACAACTATTTAATAGACAACTATTAAGACTCTACTGTTTTTAGCACTATATTACGCTTTGTGAAACTGAGAGTAAAACACACTCCGTACTGTCACGTATGCTATAATAAAGAAGGTTTAACACTTCATTATCTACTACGTAAATGGAAATAAAACTGTATCTACCGGTGGTTCTGACTTACCTATCGATGACTACCAGAATGGCATTTTGCCTTCACTTTGATTTTTCATCTTTGTTAAACTAATAAGCTTAAACTGATCTTCTGTCACTTTGTTAAGTACCAAATCCTTCATAGTTATTAGGAAGCTCTGGTGGCCTAGCGGTTAAGCAGTTGTACTACCAACCAAAAGGCAGAAGGTTCAAATCCACCAACAACTCTCCTCCTGTGTGATTTACAGCCTCTGAAAACCTACTGTAGGATCACCTACAATCACTTTTGACTTGACAATGTTGTGATATTGTTTGTTGTGAGGTTATAATTACTATTTCTTATTTCATATTATACATCTCACAAACTTCCACATACACAGGGGGGGAAAAGTCCATCACTGGGCACTTGAATTTGTTTAAACTCTGTTGATAAAAGTGCTACAAAACATCTTTGAAGCATAGATAAAGTATACTCACCCTCCTTATATGTAGGATTGTCATAATGGACCTCCAGGAGCACATAATGAGGGTCTAACGGAGTACCAAGGGATAAACCAACATGAGGTGGATAGGAAAAGCCCTAGGTGTAGAGAGTGACGTGAGTCAGTGTACAATTTAAACCCTTCAGAATTCCACTCCATTCAAAACCCAGCTCTCACAGATATTCCAATGTTCTGGAATTCCATCAATTTATAACTGATAAAATAAATGAAAGCAATACATATTTATGAAACAACTATTTCTATGCATACATATGCATTAAAATATACCTTTAAGTTTAAGTTTACATGCAATGGTTCCAACACTCAAAGATAAAACCTGAATTTAGAAAAATACTGATCATAAAAAAAATAACATTGAAAGCTGAAAAAAATAATAAAATATAAAGGTGTGTTTGACTTGTATCAGAAAGAAACGACAAGAGTTGTTGGACCATAAGCTGGTGACGACCTGTATTCAAATCACGTTTGTTCCAGGGCTGTATGGATAACCAGTTATGCTACATGTCAATAATCACCAGCCTCACCTCTCCACCAATGGCCCACGCAAAAATAACAGTCTCGCAGGTGAGGAAGGCGTCGGGCATGTTGGGGTGGTAGCACTCGTGGCCGTAGTCCAGGACACTGTCGTTGAAGTTGCTACTGCACTGGTAGAGCAGGATGTGATGGACCAGACTCTCGTGACCTCTCTGTATCACCGGTTCGACCTATACAAGCACAACAGAGAGCAGAGCTGTGATAAGTAAACCATCCTACAACGAGTGTGAAACTGGAGGGCATGATTATCAAAGACTTGTTATCTTTTACCAGTTGTCCAGGTCGTATTTAAAGGGATATTCAATTTTTACTTATTTATTTTTATTTTATATTGATTTGCTTACAAAACTCATATACATTATGTTTCACACTATCCTTGTTCACACTGTTTCATATAATCATTCCCATTCATTATGTTTTATAAAATTAATCACCATTGAGCTATGACCACCATTATGCAAAAGTATTATTTTTCGTAGGTGGTAACAATGAAGATGGTGAAGAAGATAGTGACTGTGCTGAAGACAAAGGCAACCATTTACTGCAAGAATCACAGGGCTTCACTAATCTATTTTTAAAAGATACTTGTTTCCTTTACCCATTCCTTCTACAACAGTTTACAATGGTGACTGTTCTCTTCCTATAAGAAGCTCTCGTGGCAAAGAATCTAGGGAGTCTCACTGTCAACCCAAAGGCAGCACTTCTCTGGCAATTTGAATCTACCTCTGGCTCCAAGGGAGGAATACAAGAAATCTCCTCCCATATTCTAAGATTTTCAGCCTCCAAAAGTCTGCAGAAGGGTCAGATGTGAGGTGTTTCCAACTCGTCAGCCATGAGTTTTGAGACCTCTCTTGCAGCATTCCCTCTCTTGGTCTCCCTCTCCTCCTCCTCACGATGTTGTCATCTTTACTAAGATCAACCAAAGGGGATAGTATGTCTTGTTTCATTTTTATATATACTTTGTGTTGAAGATAAGGCTAAGCTCAAAGGATAGCTCAATTACAAATATTTTAATGATCAAGATTGAGTTCCAGGAACAATTTTACTATGAGATGTTGAAAGATATTTTAAAATAAAAACCATAATAATTTTTTTTTACATTTAACAACATTTATACAAAAATAATCTGTTACACTTCAGTCAGGAGAGGCAAACCAAAAGCAGTTAAAATAGCATGGACTGTGAATTCAGTCCTGGCATTAAAAGCATGATCCATGTGAATATGTCCCTTCTATTGTCCTGCCAACTCCCCTTCTTAACAATTCACCACCCAAGTTCCGGAACCTAGAAACCAATTGAAAATAGGTAAGCACATCTTATTATTCTAATATCCTGTGAAAAGAACAAAGAAATCTGTCTTGGAGGAAGTACGATTAGGTTATTCCTTAAGACAAGGGTGATGAAATTTCATCTCACATACTTTGGGAATGTCAGCAGGAGACGTCAGTCCTTGGAAGAGGATATCATGCTGGGGAAAGAAGATGTTCAGTAAAAGAGAGAAAGACCTTCAACACGATAGATCAACACAGTGACTGCAAGCATTGGCCTTGAGTATGGCAGAGATTATGAGGAGGGCTCAAGACCAGACAAAGCTGTTTATAAGGTTGCTATAAATAACCAACTAAAGAGCACTTAATAGCATCTTAAACCAAAAAAACCAAACCCATCAAAATTCAGTTGATCCAGAGTCATGTTAACAGAGTAGAGATGCTCTTCAGGTTCTCTCAAATGTAATCTATACAGAAGTAGGTCACCAAGCCTTTCTTCCACAGCGCTGCTGGGGAAATTCAAACCCATAACCTATTAACTGATAGTCAAGCACACATCTTCTGCACTATCCAAGGATCTTCCAATATCCCCCTTCTAGGTACTGCCTCAAAGTCACTTCTGACTCATAATGATCCGCCATCAGATGTCTGAGGCTGTAAATCTTTATAGAAAAAGATTATTCATCTTTCTGCCACAGACCATGAGACAATGGGGGTTGGTGTGTCAGAATTAGTGAGACTGGCTCAGGACAGGGAAGGGTTCAGAGCTGCTATACATAAGGTCGCTATGAATAGCAGGCGATTCAATGGCACATAACAACAACAACAACATACTATGACACGTTTGGAAGCAGGAGTGGCATCCACTTCCTAAACGACATGCTTCCAGAAACTCTATGAACTCTGATAAATGTCAACAGTTGTAGAGGGGCATCAGGCCTTTTATTCATAGGGTCGCCATGCGTCATACTCAACTCGAAAGCAATCAACAGCAACAACAACCACAGACCCAGTGGTGGATTCAAACCACTGAACCACAGACCTTTTAGTTGGAGGAACAACACATAACAAATGCTACCGGAGATCCTCTAATGTCTGAGATCTTTATATCCAGTGTACATGAGAGCCATGTACTTATCCTAACTGAGCTCTAACTAAGCATCTGTTGGTTCTTTGAACCTTCTGTTCATTTGATTAAGAAGCCCTGATAGTCTCCTAAATTTCTACCTTGAGTTGCATTATAACTCCTGGATTAACACTTTGGAGTTTGGTCCAACCATGTAAATGTAGGCATGGCACTTTGAAACCTTCGTTGTCCTCTCTCCTGTAGACACAGTCTAAAAAGTGTTTTCCACTGTACAGTCCCAGGACTTTCTATATTGCATTTATTCATTAAAAAAAAACCCCAAAAACAAACATGAAATCACAGTGGTCAAAAGGAGATAATGCAGGATATACCGGTATGAACGGGCAGCCAGGGAGCCCACGTTGATCCGTTTACTCTGCTATTTTCTCACACAGAGTCACACCACACCCAGCCCACATGTACCTTTTTAACATCACATTCACTAACATGACACAGCACATGGTTTTGTTTGTACTTGTTCTGTCTCTGAAAGGTCGTGAGCCCGGAAGGCAGAATCTGTTTTCTACTTTATTTTGAAAGTGTCATCATTAATGTTCAAATGCGGTTGCACAATAAATGATGAGTGTACAGATGGATAGCCCAGAATCTCTGCTGGGATCCAGGTTTCACAGGTAGTCATGGGTTACCTGTGGGATCTCACTTATTTGGTAACTCAGTGCTCCAAAGTATACAGAGCATTGCCCCAGGAAATTGTAAAAGGTTTAGTTCAGGCAGAACATGTAGGTGGCACTAACCTCTACAAGGCAGGCCCTCAAAGAGAGTACAGCAAATGAGAGCTGGCTATTGCAAAGGCCAGTTCCAGAGGGTGGAGACTGAACATCTCACTCTGGTACCTGAATCTAAATTATTTCAAATATGTTGTGCAAAAGAATCTCTTAAACACATTTTTTTTAAAATCCACGCTTCTGAAATTTAATATTCAGATGTTAAACTACCAGTGTATATTAATATTCAGATGTTAAACTACCAGTGTATTCTAGGAATAAATATAGCTGTATCTACCTTTTCTTCAAATTTTTTTTCTCTATGTAAACTGTTAATTCACTCAATGGCTAATAGAAAGGATAGATAATGAACTACACAGAGAAACCATGGAACAAAGGTCTGTCAATCCACTCCTGAAAAGTTAACCACTGAAAACTCTGAAAAGCACAGTTCTACTTTTACATACATGAAGCTAGCGAGTAAAAATTAAATGGACAGAAATGAGTTATCTTTTATTTAGCAACCAGACAGCTCTGGTGGCCTAGTGGTAAGGCTCTGTACTGAAAACCCCAAGGCATTCGGTTCTAATCCACCAGCTTCCCTGTGGGAAAGGGATGGGCAATCACCTCTCATGCAATTACTGCCTCTGAAAACCCACTAGAGGGCCAGCTATGGGTCAGTTCCAACTCAATGGCACATAACAACAATTTTCCAGATTAGGAGCTCTGGTGGCCTGGCTATAAGAAGTTGTGCTGCAATCCTGAAGGAATGTGGTTCTAATCTACCATCTACTCCACAGAAGAAAGATGGGTAATCTCCTCCCATGCAATTAACTACCTCTGAAAATGTGCTGCAGGGTCAGCTACAGGTCAATTGCAACTCTATGGTATACAACAACCACAACTCCCCAGATACTATGTTAGACAGGCTACATATTTCATTTAATTTTTACTATTCTAAAGCACTGAAGAGCAATGATGTCACTCTGGGGACTAAGGTACGCCTGCTACAGGCAATTATTTTCTATGCATCAGAGAGCTGGAGAATGACTAGGGATGATAGAAGGAGAATTGATGCCTTTGAGCTGTGGTGTTGGAGAATAGTGTTAAAAATATCATAGACTGCTAATAAAATGAACAACTTTGACCTAGAGAGGCTTAAACCAGGGTGTTCCTTGGAGGCAAGGATTCTGAAGCTCCATCTGACGTACTCTGGACATGTTGCAAGGAGGGACCAGTCCTTGGAGAAGGGCGTCATCCTTGGGAGGGTGGAGGGACAGCACAGGAGAGGAAGACCCTTGATGAGATGGATTGGCTCAGTCACTGGGGTAATGGGGGTAGGTGTGTCAGAGACAGTGAGATTGGCACAGGATAGAGCAGGGTTTAGGGCTGTTGTCCATAGGGTTGCTATGAGTTGCTGGCGACTCGACAGCACATAACAACAACAAAGTTTATGCCATTATTGCTGTTTTATATGTAAAAAACCCCAAGACACTTAGTTCATGCAATAGAGACAGGGTGCAACAGAAAGTGGTAGAACAGGATTGGAGTCAAATCTGTTCGACCTAAAATTGTATTTTTAGTATGTAAAAAGAGTGCAGACAGTGTGTATACAGCCACATGTTACCTCTACTCAATCCGTATCAGGGAGCAATCTCCACCAACAACTCCCAAAACTGATCCATAGGAGGTCACACATGCCCTGATGTTCGTTCCCCACACTCACTGCCACTAATTCTGATGCCAACTGTCCCTACCAGAGCTCTTTCTGTTCTTCTGCTGGGTCCACTAACCTACTGCAATGGCCACAAAGAACTCAGAGGACTCATGATTATGGGGTTTATTAGGGAAGTTGACAGGTTATAATTTCTCGGGCCTTTTTACTTCAAGCCTCTTGACATTGGGTCAGTGTTACAAAGCTTTCTTAGTCCTGAAAATTACAGCTTTCCCCCTAGTTCTCTGGTAAGCTAAGGGTGAAGACCCCTGGCACTGGCTCTGACTCTATAGGACAGCAGCCCTGGGTCAGCTCTGTCTCCTATTGGTCTCTGGCT